CGAAGGGGGTCGGAATAATTTTCTTTCGCCCTGCGGAAGACTCGCGGGGGAATGTATTGCCGGGGCTCGCCGTAGCCATTCGCTCGCAGGCAACGATTCCTTTCCGCGTTCAGATCGGAATATGTGCGGCACGTTCCTGTAAGGTAAACTGGGAAAGGTACGGGGTGCGCGGCGGTATTTGTCAAGACTCGGTAGACGTGCCCGTCGGTATCCGACGGAGATATTATTCAAGATAGGAGATGGAGCCAGCCAAGACGAATAATCGCCAGTTGGACAGTTGGACAGTTCGTGGTAGCGAGACACACCCGGTGGAGCCGTCGTAGTCGTCGGTTCTCGTTCGTCTGGTCTCGTCTCGGGGTGTTCCTTCGCCCTCGGCGTGGCTGGTCCAAGGGATGACGAGCGGAAAGGGGGGGAGAATCGGGCCGCCGTCAGGGCGAGTTTCCTCGGTGTCGAACGGACGTCTCTATCGAGTTACGGCTTTGTTTTTGGGTCGATCGACTCTCCATCGGCACTTCGAGGACCCAGGGACTTTCTTTGACTCCCTTTGATGTCGTTTCCGGGGCGAACGATAAGCACGATACCCGGCCGCCGCCGCCGTCGCCGGGAAAATTGATTTTCCAAACATTTTGCGCACTGGGATGGCCCAGGCTAGAAAATTCGGTGTCCCCCCCCCCCTCCCCCCCTTTCTGGCCTGTGTGCATCCAGCCTCGTAATAATACTTTGTCCGAGTAGAGATCGATTTTTCCGGGGTTTTACATGGCAAAGGAGCTCGTCGGGAAAGTTTATTCGCGGCGGTGGTTGTACAGCCCAGTACCAAAAGATTAATTTTTTTTTTTATTAGTTTGAACGTCGACAGATTATTAGGAAAGTGTCGCAGGGAATAATCGTGTCCCTCTGTTTCGTTTGATTTTTTAAACGGAGCAAAAGTACCGTGTTGGTCGTCGAACGGGCTCGATTTTGTTATTTTCGAAACTTGATTCGAAGGAATTCCCGAATAAAAAAAAACAACGAAAAAACCAGAACCGTACACTAGCGACGGCCGAGGAAGCTAGTGGCTGAAAATCGTTCGGGATTGGAATCATGGCCAATTCTATCAAAGTACTTCCGCGGCTCTGCACGATTCGTGTTTCCGCTAAAAACAAGCATCGTTACAAAAACGCAACGCAAAGAATATCAATGCGCTGCAAATCACTTTACCTGGTGAAACCGAACGAATAGTCGATTAAGTGGATTGTGGATGGACATCGTGTTAATATTCTTCCCGCGGTAGAGAATAATCGATTTTTATTCGCCTGGCCATATAGAGGGAATTATTTATTCGACACCGGGTCGACGACGTTCTCATATTTTCGAAACTGTAACGTAAAAACTTTTAGCAAATTGCTGAAGGTATATTACAATGATAAGGTGATTGAACATAGAAAGTATTAAAAAATTAGATAGAACTTGGTGTTTGGAAGTCTCGAATTACAAGGCAACTTCAAAGTGGCGATTTGGATTTATCGAAAAGTATTGAGTTTCTATCCAACTTTAACGTAATGTAACTAAGAAACGCGAGGATTTTTGTCGCGAATTCGGCGCGCGGTATTCGAACGCGTCGAGCCCAATCGTTCGACGTGCTTTGGAAGGAATCGGTCCCCGTTCCTTTCAGACGTCGCAAATTCTCACCGCAAAGGTGACGGAGCTTTTTCCCGCCAACGGATTCGATTAGGCGGGTTCATTGTATAAGGGTTACAACAGCGGAACCATCGTCGGCTCGTTTCAACGTGAAATTCCTCTTTCGGTTTCGGGAACGAGGGCCTCGAACTCGCTGGTAACCAATAACGAGGAAGAAAGCTTTCTTTATCTAGCTTGCAAAATCAAATTGTCGTCCCTTCGCTTCGCAGCCTCTTCTCCGCAGATTCTCGCGTCTTTTACCCGGGAGTTCCTGAAAACATTCCGTTCCGTGCGTCCGACCATCCCTCGTTCGCCACTCGACGCCCCCACGAAAGTTAAAGACTCGTTGATCAAGCGAATCAAATATTTCTTGAATGGCGTAATCTACGAATGGCCATAAAACGCCACTGAATCTCTATCTTTAATTTTTGACTCGCGTACTTAAAATTCGTTCAAATCACGTTTACCGTAACGTTTCGTATGTATCAAAAGCTCGTGACCGTTTTACGCGTTCGTCATTAAAAACGTAATTGTTAAAATACACGAAACGCGACACTGGAATATATGTTTTAATTTACGGTGTGCCCATCGAACGCTAATTTATTCCGCTTTATATTCAGATCGATTCAGTTGACGTTCGCCATTATGGAATTTTACGTTCTGACAAACCGTAAGTAAATTGAAGTCAATTTTATGTAACAGTTGCATCGCGGCGTTCAAATGTTTACGCGCCTTTAAGATACTTTCCATTTTTACGACGTTTCCATATATTACTTGCATCCAGGACCAGACGAATTCTTAACTTGCGATTCAGTTTTTTGCGATTCGTTGCGATTCAACGGTCTCTCTCTGATTTAAGAAATTAATTTTTTACAACAGAATGCCGCGCCGTGAAATGGAAAATCCATCGGCGATCGACTTGTTCGGTCGAACTGTTGCGAACTTTTCCTACCGGTTACCCCTGCTTGTTTTTCTCGCTGTTAAGGGTCTTTCTCTCTCTCTCTCTCTCTGTGTGAAGCTGCCACGATAAGCGATAGCTTTCGACTCTATCGAACAACCCCCATTGGCGGCGCGTAGTTAACGCGACTGGGGTAGTGGGGGGGCAAAGGGGAGGGGGCTAACTGACTGGAATAGCGAGGAGGGTCGAGGCAACTTAAACAGCGGGTAACAAGAAGTAGCAAGTAATAATTGAGTCAAGCAAGTATGCCGCGGACTGGGCCGACGAGAACAGCGATGTGGATGTACCTGACCGGAATTCGGAAATAGAAAGGGGGTGGGGTAATTCCGACGACTTCGACGATGGAAGATGGTTTCCCGGTGGCTCGATCGGACAGAATTTCGGTTATTTCTTCGGAATATTAACGCGGCCATGAAAATCACGATCACTGGGATTCGTAAGAGGCCTAATTACTGTGTATATTGTATCAATCGTTTGTTCATTCGCGCGAATATTGCACATGATTCGATCGATGTTTTTAACCATTCGATTCTATCGTTTAAATGTTCTTTGCTTTGCATCTCCGTGTAATTAGTCTCACACTTGATAACATTTGATTTTTTGTTTTTCTAGTTATCTCTGTTATGGAACTATCTTCTATACTTGTATCTCTTTCTGTATTGATAGGTATTTAATCCCGTGAATAAATAAATAAGTGTTGACTTGGTTTCTGAATGTTTTGAGGTTTACTTTGCAATGCTTTCCCTCGCAGAATCGATCATCTATCGTTTCTGTTGAATTTCCAAACCGTCTCGCGATGATACAAAAATCATATCCCGCGACTATACATATATGTATTTAGAGTTTCCTTTCCTTTTTGGTCACTAGTCCAACGAGCACACGAGGTTTATTATACGAAGATAAGATACTGCTCTGCACTCTTATCTACCTCGGCGGAAGAATCGATTAGTATAGAAACCGATCTCATACAGAACGAAAATAAAGAGTATCGATGAAAGTAAATATTGAAGTATTTAATTACATAACCCATAACAACAAATTCCAATAATTTTAAGTATCTGTCCCCTAACTCTTGTTCTCGCCATTTTACTAAACGTCCAAGGAATCGAATGTATATAACGACGCTGTAAAGAGATTAATACGCATGTAACGATGTTGTTCGATATTTAATCGATGTCTGTCAGATGTAACGCTTTCGACGCCACTAGTATTTAACAACGTGATCGAAATTTCGACGCGTGTAACGACGCAGTTGTCATTAAATTACTGGCAGTCGTTGCGTATTACAATTATTTCATCGGCGATTCGAGGCTCCTCGTAATTTTCACGCAACCGGGTGCTCGAACTTTGCTCGAGGACCGAGACGCTCGATTCGTCGATTTGTATTCGCGTATTCGATTAGAAAATAAATAGAACATACAGGACGTTCCATTTAAATATTTCCGGTTGCATTTAAAAAGCAACTAAAATTGAAAATCCACCGTTTTAGGCGAATTTTTTCGTACGGTTCGAATATTTGTTTGGCTTTTCATTCTTCATTTTATTCAATACATTTTGGAAGGCTCGTGACACGGCACTAACGCGTTCGAGTGCCATTTTTATTGTGACTGCGTAAACTTTTATTTCTCTATTCTCTCTTTGTCATTTCTTGTTTTTTTTTTTTTTTTTTAAATTCAACACACTAGTACCCGCTGTAGCCTTCGCAATTCGGGATCGTACACCTTTTATTATAAAAATAAACTCTTTATGTTCTCATTATTAGAGGAATAATAAAAATAGCACAGTACATTCTGCGAGTTGTATACATATTTAAAATTTTATCAAGGAACATATAACGTATAAAAAAATGCTAAAAATACGATTTTGAGATTTCATAGTATCGAAAAAACCTACTGTTACAGATTTGTTACGTCATAGTTAGATAATTTACGACAAACCTACCACGTTTACTTACGGGATTCGTTTCGAAAGTTTGCAAAGCCCTTCGTTCTTTTTTGAACGCGTCATATTTACAAGAAAAGGAAAAAAAATCACTCTACTGTTATGTATGTGCGAATATTCACAAAATAAGTAAATACCTTGCCTATAAAATTTAGGTTTTAATGGGTAAAACGTTTCGAAATCGTCGAGCCCAACAAATTGTAAATATAGAATTCCTGGCAATTTTTTAACAGCACGGGTTAAAGGTGAAAAGGGCCAGCGTGTCGGCAGGCACGGTCCTGCGTCTAGCGTTTCCGTAGTTGCCCGCTTGGCGGCGATATGTGGAAAACCGATTTGGGACCATCCAAAACGATTCCTCGTTAGCGATCAATGCGAATCAGGCTGCGGGACGTCCACGTGGAAAGTGGCTCGGTTTTCGAAGGTGACGCACGGCCCGCGATAAGGAATGTCCCAGAATAACCTGCTGCAAGGATACAACTGTGAGTACCAGCCCTCGGGGACGGGAAAGGCACCGATTTCCGGCCCCCCTCCCGGTTTTGTCTCTTCGCCTCGGTACGCGGTACGCGCGAATCGCGAGATCGCGTTATCGCGTCTGGCAGCCCTCCGACCGATCCGTCGCGCCTCCGTCCGTGAAAAATGAGCTGTGATAATGGCGGCTTTCGTTTATTTGCAGACAGCGGCCGGAAAAAAGGCGAGGACCGACGATGTCGGACTTCTGCCGATCGCGACGCGCACCGCGAACCTCGAAATCCCACCGCGTTGACAGTCTTTTCTCTTCGCCTTTACAGCTGGTTTCGCTACCTCGACCGGGAAAGCTTCAAATTTTTTACGGCAATGGCCACCGATATTTTCGTCGATCTCGCTTCGAACGCGTTGTCGGACACGAGTGAATCGCGCGCCTGTTATTTCGACGTGTTCGCGAGTTCGGGATCCATCTTTCGAAACGGTCGGAGTCGCGACATGTGATTTTAACGCGTCGACAAAACTGTGGATCTTGTGTGTAATCAGTTGCCTGTTATCGAGTTCGAGCGTGTGTCGGGAGTTTTCTGTGTCTTCGCGAGAGCTTGCATCGTTCGCATATGTACGTTTCCGAGGTATATCGTTGAATAAAAAATTGTAGCACGTCGAGTGATTGGTTTTTTTATTATCTTTAGTGTCTTAGGTATTTTCTGATTTTTAAAAAAGTGTAGAATTCTGAACAACTAGTTTTGCATTGTCAGATTTGACGACAATAAATTTTGTGTTGAATTTTTCTGTCATAATTTGTTGATCGGTTTATTGTACGAGTCTTAACGTTTTCGATAAATTTTATGATCAGAATACTGTAAACGAATCGGTGCTCGAGTCTGTCCGTTGAGTGTAACAATGTCTCGAGAAACGGCAACAGAGCCCTCGACGACGATACATTGTATGGAGAGGAACGAGACACCTGCAACACCAGCTCCATTTAAACCAGTGTCTTTCAAACGATGGCTCGCTTAAAACTTCCATTTTTAATGAATCGTAACGACGAGACTCGATATCAATCGACAGTTATGAAATTACGCACGCCATTCATACATTATAAATTAAAACAACGTTTAAACATTCTATGCACATTGCATGAAAAATGTTCCGCGTTATGCTCTTCGTAATATATTATTATATTAACACGCGAAACGAGGTCGGCACGATTGCATCCGAGGCTTAAAAATATTAACTTGAAATCCCGAGCTTTTAATGAACGTAAAACGGTTGAAGCAATTTATTCATTCGGTCCCATTACGAGTTCTTTTATTTGAGCGTGACGAAGTTCCGTAAAGAGTATAAAAAATGTACGTACCGGCGTAACAGCAGCTACGGCGCACAATGTATTATTAAGTAACAAAAGGAATAAGGGAGAGAGAGATTATTTCGTCACGAGAGGTATAACAATAGAAAAATATTGTCTCCCTTATTTTGCGAAAGAATCTTACGAGCTTTCTATCGAGACTATACGCGATCGTTCTTCTCAGTCTTCGATCAACCGAGTTTCCAGAGAAAATAATACCATCTTTAATATAATCGTTCAACGATCTTCCTTGTTATACGCTATTTGCAACAAATCTGCATATCTTCGACAGTTTTATAAAAAAAATATATATAAATACTTTAGAAGCAATTATGTCCCCTGCACATTGCACGATAAGTTCAATTTTTAAAAGATCACCCACATGGCTGTGTACTCAGCTTTCACGATGTTTAAAAGTTTAGGTTTCGTGCCTTTTCGAGAATAATTAAGACCTGGTCTACAGTTGATACGTCAGTAACCCTGAAGCCAATTAGCAGTAGGGGTGGAATTATTATTTCTAAGAGACGCGGAATTTTCACGAAATACTGTTCAACGTTTGCAGGGGAGACCCAGTACGAAGATCCGCAGGTGCAGTTCTCTCGTTCCATTTCAGACGAGGTCATCAGGTGAGCTTAAACTATTTACATGCATCAGGGTAAGGTCTGACTCAGACTTAAGTGATTACACTGTAATCAGGTTAATTCTTGGATTTAATCCGCGATTTTCTTCCGTTTTCTTTTACTTTGCTTAAAAATGCTCGCAAAATTATGAAATAACAGGGCGACTCTATTTAATTAGATGCCTGTGGAACGATACAATGGTTTTTATTTTATTTTCGCGTAATCCGGGGTAGGCTTTGAAATTTAATAGCACGGACCTCATTTTCCGTGATTTGATCTCTATTTTTCTATTTTTAGAGTCGCAACTATTATTTTAAACAATTTCTTTTCGAAGTTCAGAATATTTTTATTTAGACGCGGACACATGGAAATCGTCTATTTTTTTTTTACCAATTTGATATGTCTCGTGCAAAAGAAATAAATATTATTTACACGTTCGAATAGAAAAATTGGAAAATTTGTCAGGGACGATGGACTAATTTTATGTACCTAGAACGGAGTAACATAGTTAAGTTAACGTTGCTCCATTGTTAGTGTTTTTGAAGTTTATGTGAAAGAGGAGACCGGAGATTCCGAGGGAAGGAACGATATCACCATCGTGCCGGGCTTACCATCTACCAATGATCATCAATTAATTCAGGTACTCGATCAGTTTTATACATAACATTTTACGTTTCGCAAATACAAATTTAAAAAAAAAAAATTTTGTTTTTAGAATGACTGCATGAATCTGGACGTTGCTATAGACTCAGACGTGATCAATATCGATGGAGCTGTATCGAAATTTCTCGGAAAGGATGCTTTTAAATACAAGGTACTTTGTCGTTGAAATATAGTTATCTATACAAAACTCGTCAAAGCAAAATACTTTGTTATACTTTATATTAAATTATACTATTGAACAAGCGTGTATTTGAAGCTTCTGTACTTGTAATTTTTATTTTAAAACACAAATCAACGCGGAATTGTCCAAAGCCCACGAGAACGTTGCAATTAAAAAAAAAAAATAAGAGTTAATATTGTGCTGTATGTTTTTTCAGATTCTGGATCAAAACGTCAACACACCCGACGACAACGTTATGGTTTACTCGCACCCCGTTGTCGAGACACCGTCCTCGACCTCCACCCGTCTGATCGACAAAGACGATCCAAGATCGAAGCTTCACTTTGTCAAATATCTGAAGCGCGATGGAAAGACGCTGAAAATCTGGGAGTGCGGAATCTGTGAGTAATTAGAAAAACGGTAGATCGAGCTGCTTCGCCAAAATTCACGTACCTCCGTTAACGAAACAAATTTCCATCGAAAATGTTAAAGCTTAACGTTATCACACGCATTCGGTAATTAACTTTGCTTTTACGTTCTGTACCACCAAATATAATCGTTGGTTAATTCTCAACGCTTGGCCGTCTATTTTCACGTTTACGAATAAAAGTTTATCGCCCAGAGACCGTGTAGTAGATGTATCTACGATGGGGCTCGAGAAATCAGTAAAATTTAAATGACAGGCTTTATCGTATCGCTCGAGATGGAAAGTTGCTTCGTACCCGGAGGGGTGAAATCGAGGGTAAAGAAAGATTCTCTGCCCGATACAAACTACCAGTCAGTCAAACGCTCGAGAAAAGTGCTCGAAGCTTAATATTCGAACTAGGTTCGAAGGAGTTCCGGCATCAGTACACCTTGATGAGACATTTGCCGACTCACACCGACGAGAGAAACTTTAAATGCGAGGCTTGCGGCAAAGCTTTTCGCCAGTTATCGACACTGAGCCAGCACAAGGCGATACACAGCGACGCCAGGCCGTACGTCTGCGAATTTTGCAAGAAAACTTTCAACAGGTCAGCCCCATCGCGAATCGATACGCGATTCTTTCGCGAACATTCCCGTCCGCGATTTCGACTTAACGTCCCGTAATTTCGTTCCGAGGCGTTCCCGAGGCGAATAACGCGTATAGAAATTATAGCTGCAATCTCTCTCGAAAAAAATAATAACGTCACGTACGGGCGCGTAACTCATTAGCGTTTTAAATCGCGGCGAAGCTGCGAAAAGCGCGATTGTACGAAACGCGCCAAGAAATTTTTAACGAGCGTGACATTTTTGTCTTTCTACAAATTAATTTTAATAAAGCGTGCCCTTTAAACGAGTCCAACCGCGTCCATTGTGGCCCGGCGAGTTGATTAAAATCGTTTCGGTTGCCAAGCTTAGCAAGCCCCGCGAATAAGCAATTAATTAAACTATCGGATCGTACGTTTTTAAACTATGCTTTATCTATTTGTGTTATGCATATATTACGCTGGAATATTGTAATTATAATTAACCGAGGATTTATTTGGTTTCAATTTTTGTGACAGTGACTGACATTTTCAAGATTATATATGCAGGGTGTTCGGCCACCTCTGGGATAAATTTGAATAGGAGACACTAGAGGCCAAAATAAGACGAATATCATGAATAGCAATTTGATGATTGAGGCTTCGTTAAAAAGTGATTAACGTTTAAAGTTCCATACCGACCGGAAAATTTTTCGGCGGAATTAAAAAATTTCAAATCGTTGTAAAAAAATTATTTTCAGTCGCAGAGGTCAATTACAATCATTTCTGGTGAACAGACATATCCCCGAAATCCTACGCACTTTCGAGAAAAAAATTCGAGAATGTACTGAAATTTTCGGCGAAATTAAAAAATTTCAAATCGTACTAAAAAAATTATAGTTAGTTACAAAGGTCAATTACAAGCATTTTGTGTGAATAGACATACCCCGAAATCCTACGCATTTTTGAGAAAAAAATTCGAGAAGGTACTGAAATTTTCGGCGAAATTAAAAAATATCAAATCGTACAAAAAAAATTATAGTTAGTTACAGGGGTCAATTACAAGCATTTTGTGTGAATAGACATATCCCCGAAATCCTACGCATTTTCGAGAAAAAAATTCTTTGCCGAAAATGTAATGTCTGACCATATATGACACTTTTCCCTGAAATTTCATGCGAATCTGTAAAATGTTATAACTCCTGAACGGATTGTCGGATTTTAATGTTTCAAAATGCAAACAACGCGTATTTTAATAGAGAATATGTAGAAATTGTAAAAATATTCGAAAAATTTTTCCTTAACCCCGTAAACTGAGAAAAACCCCCTAAAACTGATTCAATTTTGAAACGGCCATAACTCCTACAATAGTAAAGGTACCCCGTTGAAATTTTTTTCTGAAGCAGAGCCCATGGGTAGCTACAGAAAAGTATAAGAAAACTTTTCTGTAGAGCGTCGAACAAATTTATTAAAAATGATAAACAATGTTTTAAGAAAAATCGACAGAGGGTAGGTGCCTAAATTTTTCGATGAAAAAAAAAAGTTTCAAATCGTTATGGAAAAATTATTTTCGGTTGCGGCGGTCAACTACAATCATTTTTGGTCATTAGACATACCTTCAAAATCTTACCCACTTTCTAGAAAAAAATTCAGGAACGTGCGATATTTTTCGACAAAATTAAAACATTTCTAATCGTTGTAAAAAAATTATTTTCAGTCGCGGGGGTCAATTACAATAATTTTTGCTGAATAAACATACCCCCGAAATCCTACGTACTTTCGAGAAAAAAATTCGAGTAGATGGACAAATTTTATTAATAATTTTGTTCATAACTTTTTAACGAAGCCTCAATCAGCAAATTGGTATTCTTGATTTTCGTCTTGTTTTAGCCCCTAAAATCTTTCATTAAAATTTTTTCCAGGGTTAGCCGAACACCCTGTATACATATAAATATCACAAAAATTGAATCCAAATAAATCTTCAATTATAATTACAATATTTCAATATTACGATTCGTATTTAGTTAAATAATATTTCCACGTTTGCAGAGTGTCGACGCTGATCTCCCACCGGAAAACGCACTCGGAACACAAGCCGCACAAGTGCCAGGTTTGTGGGAAAGGTTTCCACCAAAAAGGTAATCATATACCACGTAAACAAATTTTCTACAATCACTTTTGCGAGGCTTCCTAACGTTTCTGTCGAAATCGTTGAGATCGTCGCGCGTAGAGAACACGAAACGCCAAAAATTACTAATGACTAAATACCTGTTTCGTTGTCAGGCAATTTGAGGAACCACGTGTTTACTCATACGAACGAGAGGCCGTACAAATGCGAGCTTTGCGGCAAAGGCTTCAATCAAATGTCGAATTTGGTCTGCCACAAGGTCAAAGCGCACGCACACGCGGAGAAAATGCAGTACGTGTGCGGAATCTGCGGCAAAGAGTTTCCGCGTCGGTTCTCTTTGAGATCGCACGAGGAGTACAAGCACGGCATAAAGTATCGACATCCGACCACCGCGCAGTCCGGAATGAACGATCCGAACGTCATAAGAAAGTAGGTAGACGTCGCGAATGACGCTTAATTCGTTCCCTGACAGACAGCCTTTCTGCACGGATGAATGCACGCCGCCGGAATGTTGATATTTCACTCGGCGAAAAGCTGCGCGCCTCTACCCTTCATCCATTTTTACTAAATTGATTCATTCTGATCTACCCCAGTTTCTCTCAAATCTGTACAACATCTCCGACCCGTTGTTATATTATGCAGAAAGTACAGTCAATCCTCATATCGTTTTTTTAATAACGCAACGTTGATCTTAAACATTCTTAGAGAAGCCTTGTGAATTCAAGTTTTCCTTTTATTTTTGTCACTCGTCATTTGCACCAGCTTTATATTATAATATCTGGTTTATCGAGCCATATTTTTCACTAATGTACTTCGAGATGAAGAATAGACTCTGGCATTAGTTTTTGTTCCAACGAGTCGTAACAATTTCCTTCTGAAACCGTTCCATATTACATCAGTGAGTCTTGTTTACAACTTGTACGCGGTGAACCAATTTCAGTAAGTACAGAGCACCGTATAATCGATACTGATTAACTTCCAGCAAGAATGTCAGGATCGTACAATTGCCCAATGGTGATCGCAATCAGAGCATCGAAGTTAGGAACAAAGATCCCATGATCGCGGTTAGTAACTCGGCTAAGGTATCAGTTATCGTATTAAATAACTTTTGACTTGTTCGTCTCGGCGTTTCATGTAAAATTCAGAACGTGTGAGACACAGCGAACGTGTTAATAATTGTATACTTAATTGTAAATCGTGTTTCACGAAAGCCTGACGTTATGGAGTCCGTGGTGATCGACAAAATCGACACGAAGGCAATGGAGATGGCGCTTCTCGAGGGCCAAACGCCGTTCGCCCTCTTCAAACCTGCCAAGGGAATTCCTGTCCTCGTGAAAGTTTCGTCGACCGGAACTCAGAAAAATGTAAAGCTTTCAGCCCTCGTTGAACGCTCTCTATTCAGACATAATCACCGATCCTTCCCATGCAAGTCAAATTAACCCTTTGCACTCCAACGGCGCCCCTACGGCGACAATTCGATATAAGGTTTATGAATAGTAACGCAAATTAACAAAACAAACGAAGAGATTTAAAATTACAAACATTTCTCTGGAGAGAAAGGACAATTTTAATATTCCAATTAGCCAGTTAGTTCTACCAAAATGAATTCTTGGAGTGCAAAGAGTTAACAGAGAGATTTCGATTAAAATTTCATGATACGTATGGTCCATCGTTTTAGATTCTGACACCCGCGACGGCTGACGATCTACGAATGGCGGGAAAGATGACTCTGAGTCCAACGATCGCAGCAGAAATGGACAGGATCAAGGCTGTACAGATCAAGGTGCCCGTGGTGGCCACCGTGATCCAAAACCTGGATTCTGATGGGAAGACGAGCTTCATCATCGAACCACCCGGTCCTGAGAACGAACACGGTAGCGATCTTTTGCCCATAAGCAAGAAGAAAATCGACCATCCTTTTGATAGAAATTCCCTTTTCGCGAATCGATATCTACGGTCCCTCCGATCTAATCGTTTCGCGATACGATGTTAGCTCGATAATTCCGGTCGCGACTGATTCGCGCCGAGACTGTCCACGGTCCCGTTCTCCCGGCAATAATTGGCTCGTTAAAGCAACGATGTTTTTCGAACTGTCGCGACAATGTGGTCTTTATTCGGTGCATTGTCGACAGAGAGCCTGGTCACGGCATTGGATTCTCAGTTCACGTACACCGAGCCCCCCAGAAACGAACCAGATCGCCAGAATGGTGCTGTTGAGGATTGCAACGAGCTGCTAGAATTGGCCGCCCAGGGTGGAATACAATTCGTTCGCGCCACCGAGGATGGTCGTTACGAGGTGATGAACGGATCGATTATGATTTTCGTATTTATGTCCAGCTGGTATCGCGTGTTCGCAAGTTTCTACGTTTCTGCTTTTCTCGTTGCTTTACCCCTGCTTACTCGAGCAGCAATCCGCTAACCAAGAGTAAGCAGTTTCTAATAAACGCTTGATAACGTGACCGTTGTGATCAGAGCGTGGATGTTACTTGATATGCAGAAATGTAAGCTCTACAAAGCTCCCGCTTCGCTAATTCTGTTAATAAAAATATGAATTTAATCATGATACAGCGTGTATCGTTCGACGTTGCTGAAAGTTAGATATTTATCGGTAATTCCTTGGCGCAGGTGATGACGAACAGCGAGGCCCGTGACTTGATGGCACAGAATTCGCACGATGTGACGATACTCGATGGCGAGGAAGCAGGCGCAATCAATGTGGTGAATATGCGCGGGAACGGGGACGTCATCATCGGGGATTCCGATAATCAGATCATGGTACTTGACTCGGCATCGGCGCAGAAATCCATGACGATGGACAGCATCGAGATTCTGGAGGACAAGGACATCAGAATTCTCGATAGCAAGGGCCTTGACGATCGTTTCGTGGATGGCATTAGTTTCCTCTCGCAACCCAAAATCGATGATTTAATCCTGGGCTCGAAACCTTTGTCCATGGACGGCGGTGTTGCTGTCACCGGACACGAAGACGAAGGTACGCCTTGATTCGCGTGAAATCATATCACGCTTCTTCTATTGATTCATTGTCGTTTACACCATAACATTTTATTGGTGTAAAATTCTTTAAAAGTCCTCTTCAATGGCTGCCATTCTAGGCAAAGGATTACCTTCACTATGAATAGTCAATTGTGACATTTTATTACTCGGACATTCTTTAAAAGTCCCTCTTCGTTGGCTGTTGTTCCAGGTATAGGACTACCATCGAGCCAACAAGAATTAACGAGCATTCTGGGTCATCGAAGCGACATTTCGACTCTCTCGAACTCGTCTCAGTCCTCGATATCATCTTTGTTACTGAAAAATCATCCACCCTTGTCGCTTCTAAACGAAACGCTTCCCTTCTTGAAAAGCAACAATAGCTTGGCGGAGGACTTGAACATTCTCGGTAACTCGACCATGGAGGATCATCACTCCGCCTACGAATCCAAGATGAAACTATCGTCTGTGTTCGACGACACCGAATCCGACGCAGGTTTGATACCCATCAGTCAAGCGGACATGAAGCTTCTAGGATCCATACATCAAAAGACGAAGGTAACGGGACTTTGGTTTCGCTTGATAATAACACGAAAACGAGAAAAACCGATTTCACTGACGCGTTAAAAATTTCGTAAATAGGTTCTCAACAATAAAATGAACTGTCTGGCGTCGTCGAAGCTGTTCGCCGGATTGGGCGACGTGAAAATCCTGGGCCCGAAGAATCACGCTCAGGAAATCATGGCGCCCCACTATTCGGACATGAAATTGCTCAGCCCGTACGAGCAGTTTCTGAAGAACACGGCTGCCAACACGAACGGATGCGACACCAACATCGCGAACATTTCCGGCGGATGCAGAAAGGAGGTTAAAATTTTGGGGAAGAAACTTGGAATGGGCATTATAACCAGCACGGAGGATGGTAACGTCGTGGAAGTCGTCGAAGACAAAACTAAACTGGTAATAAATACGCGTTGATCACGGTAATCGTAACATTTTTATCCAATGTTTGTCTTTTCGAAGATGATGGACTCGGGAGGAGTGCTTTGCAACAGCGCGGATGACAGCACCGGGACGATTTCGTCGCCGCGTTTAGAAAGACAGATCACCGAGAATGGCGGGCCCGACAGCTTCTTGCTTCAAGTAAATCGACCTAAACTAACGAATGCCCCGCAAATCGGCGAAACAGAGTATCAATTCCTAATCAATGCAGGCCTGTAGCCCGTGCGACCCGGACTTTCTGAGTTTCGATAACCGTTTGAAAGACACCTCGCCTGGCAGCCACTACGAGCGAGCCCAAAAGGATTCCAGGGACAGCTTCAGCTCCACCGGTGGGCTTCCCGATCTCGATTGATGAAGAACCCGATCCCTGACCCAGCTCCTTTAGTCTTGCTTATCCGTGAAAGAGTGTCTCGAGCGACGCAGAAACTTTGTTGGCGACCGCTGAAATCTCCCCATGCGCATGGAGGATTTAATTAGAGCACTTTGGTCGTGCGAATCGCTCGCACGAGGACGGACGGTTGGTTCGGGTTCTTTCGCGAGGGCTCGTTCATTCCCCGTCGAACGATTTCGGTGAACATGTGCAATTAGAGAATTTTTTCATACTCTAGGACGCGAATACTATTTATTGGAATTCTTGTATCTTGAATTGTTAGAAATTTTCACGCCAAGTTCCCTCGATTTCTCGCGCACAGTTTTACCGTAGCTAAATTGTTGGCGATTCTTGCACGACAATAGACGAGAATCGTTAAATTTGCGTCCACGTCCTACGAAAGCACCGCAAATTCCGGGACCTTCGGATGGATTTTTATTAGAAATTTAGAAGACGAGACGGAGTTAGAGCGTATTTTCCTTTTTTTTTTTTTTTAACTTAAATACAATTTCATATATTGCGTAATGTTTTATTTGAGAGTCACCGTTTGCTCGCATCGAACCTTTCTAAATGAAATAACAATGGAAAAAATAAAAAAAAATAAAAATAAATAAATTGACACGGATATCGTGGAATCTCTGGGCACAGGTGCATTATACCATGCATCGGGAATTCAAACGAGGTTCGTAATTCGCGCGCATGCTAATGATTTTATTCATGGGGGGAGAGAGAGAAAAAAAAACGTTGTATTTTTACGCAGCGCCCACCGAATGCTTGTAAATTTCAATTCTCGCGCACGTGCAAGCGTCCCGTGTTCATATATGCATTGTTAACTTTCCGAGTTTCTATTTTAACATGGGCGATTACATCGTATAAATTCGAATAGTATTTTATATTTGAATTTCGAGGTTGGAGAATAAATTGTATGCAGAAAATTATCCACCCTCCCTCCCCTGTGCACTTTATTTTCGTTGTTTAACGCGTGGGATTAAATTTCAAGCCAAGTTTAATCCCCCCCGTTTCCCCAAACGTTTTGTCGTACGATCGTTCGACGAAAAACAATTCCCCAATGTTTAATATACGAGGAAAAGGAAAGATACGAGTCTCGAGAATTGGATGTAATCTGATTTCAATTTTTCTGATATACGTGGAAATACGTGCACATTGAAGCGAACGAGGGATCTTTAATCTTCGGAAGTGCATCGATTAAGACATCTTCCGCTGAAGGTAAGAAAAAGCATTTTTTTCTCCTAAGCGTGATTTTCAGGTTTTACTGCACTATTTGTTACTTGATATAAATATTTAAACGATTTTTATGCGCTTCGTTAGAGAGATTTGCGAAGTGTTCACACGTTTCTAGAGAAGTACTGATAATAACTATAACTATAGAGTAGCATGAACAGTTTTCTACCTTAAAAATCCATTAACGAGTGAGTACGTACTGTGTGTCAGCAAAAAGTTGACTAGTGGAACGGTACTTCGCTTGCCCCGCCCATCCCCTCTTTCTAGAGTGGGGGGGGGGATCTCTACGCCAATCAGACCCGCATTCCATTCTCTAGCCAACTTCCCGCGGACGCAAAATACCGTATTCGTTGCAGCGGAAAACTGTCTCTGATGGAAAGGATTTTAAATCCCACAGGGATTTCCCAAGTTTTTACCCGTCGTTGGCCGTTGATTCGACATAACACATGTCACTGGGCGCTTTGCGCTTCCCCGGTGCGTGCTCCACCGTGTGATACATATTACGGTTTTTCCGACCCCGTTTCCCGAAGCCGTGGGATCACCGAATTCGATAAAATTTACTCAACAGAAGGTAACGGCGTATGTTTGCGCCGCCGACGTTCCATCTACCTTCATTTCCGGCTCGTGCCCTCGTTCGTTCTCACACGGTCTATGAAGCGGACTTGAATCAAGTTGGGTCAGGTCGGGCTCGCGTCTCGCGTCCTACCGTCCGAGATAAAAGGAAAATTTCTAGCAGACTGAACAAAGCTTCAACCCTTACCCAATATGTTTTCTTCTTTATATCGTTGTTCTCGCGACTGGTGCTGTTCCGATAACGTCACAGCGTGCTGAATTTCATTTCGACCGCACTTCCATCGAACTTAACGAAATCAAAGAAACAAAATTAGTCGCACGAACGCGTGTTCGACTTGGATGAATCCAGAAATCGAGAGGTGCCTGTTACGAAAGTATTGGAGTCCTGTCTTTAGGTTACATAATAAAATATAATTTTTTTAACGTACAACGGTACCTTCTTACTCTCGTAACGAGTTCTTCTCCTTTTATATCTTCGTTCGACAAATCCTTTTCCCTCGATATATAAAATGTTTCACAGAGGGTACGATTTAAACAAGTTTACCGTGCTAATATTCGTGCGATCGAGAACCCCCGGGTAGAAATATCGACGTCGCTGACTCGATAAATTCCGCGTTCGGATTTACACGTCTTTAAGAAATTGACGGTCGGCGACGCTTACGCGACCGAACTTTTATTCACGAAAATTGCGTCAACGATTTGACGTAATGCCATTGACTTCTTCGTTTCGTCTTGCCCCGCGTCTAGGAAAGGCACGCAAGAGAGACGTTTCGCATCCAGCGTGCGCGGACGGAGATCGAATTTGCGAAATGGCTGTGTACGAGGGTTGAATTTCTGACGAGGTAATACGCGACGGAGGGGATGGACGGGGCGCAGACTGACGTCCCGGTGAAGCCGGGGCCACGGAAAAAGTTGTAAGGGACGAAATTCAACGTGAATTTCCCTAAAATAGGTGTCCCGTCAATTCGCTGCATTACGGCTGACAAGTTGCCCGGGTCTTTCTTACGGGAAAGTAACGCGTTCAATGGCTGCAACCATTTTACCTGCTCTTTGCCGGCCATGGTTCGAATATACTATTTCTCTTTCATTCTTAACCCTTTGCACTCCTACGTCGAGCGTGACTCGACATTTTTTTCAAGTCCAAACCAAACAAAATTGTGTAAAACAAATATCGAACTTGTTTGATCCTCTGTTCGTTTAAATTGCCCTATTTTTTAGTTAACGTGAATTTCAAATAAAACGCTTAAAAGCGTTGAAAAATTCGGAGTGCAATAAGATTGAATGAGCTAGCGAAAACTAAAATACCTAACCCACACCTGCAATGTACATATTTTCATCCACGAAGAATGTCTTGGAAGTTTTGGACATTTCGTTCCGAAACGAAATAACTAGGTGGATTCGGCGGGACTATAAAATGGCAGGGGTTACAGTTGTTTACGAGTAAGAGGCGTAACGACTCCTCTCACTCCTTTTCACGCTGGCAAATTGTTGAGAATAATGCGCACAGCTCCACCCCGACGACTTGAAATAAGTGTACTCGTGGCCGCTGAAGTTTTATCGGGTCACCTGAGTTATGGTACCGAGCACGATGGAATCACGATTCCCTGAACCGTGAAACGTATCTGAAATTCAAGTGCTCCATCCTTGGGCGATATAATTTGCAAGAGATCCGCAAGGAAAGTTTGCATCTTGATGCGTCGGTTGTACCTCGACAGTTTGTTTTCTCCTGCAGGCGATAATTGCACACACTGCTACCGAAACAGCAATGCTGGTCGCATAGGAAACGGTTCTTGTAAAATTAATTTTTAATGGAATTGGGGAAACAATATTTGATATCGTCGAAAAGTACGTACAAATATCCAAACTTTACTTTATGATAATGAGCTGGTAACGATGATACTGACGTTTCGCGTATCTAAATTCGGAGCATTTATCGCGAACAACGGGGACGGAAATATAAAACGGGAAATAATTCTCTTCGTCGCGATGGTTCCTTATCGATCGACGGAACGTTTTAAAGAATTCTATTTGAATTTTGTTGCGAGTGGCTGCGACGTTAATATTGCACGTACGCAGAATTTTAGCCGACAGAAATTAAATAGAATTGCAGCGGGAACGCGATTACCCAAATTTAATTACGGAAGCCTGCCTCCGATGCAAATTGCTTTTGCGGAACATTTGTAGGCGTTACAAAATGTCCACTTTTCCGGAAGTCTGAACTCGTCACGAACTTGCGCGAAAATCGAGCAACCGAAGTATTTAATCGCCGTCCAAGTCTCGAATATTGTCCGTCGTTGCGAGCGAATCTAGTCTACGAAAATAATTCTGGAAAGTGATCGAACATTATATTTTGCGTGCGATTCGAATCTATGACGCGTGGCATGTTAATCGGGTTACATGCATTAAGTCGCCCTCAATTATTTAAAATTCATTGGCCGATCGATCGACCTTGTTTCCGGGAGAGCCTGGTCGCGTCACTCCGCCACCCCGTCATTAACATATTTGCGAACAATATTTATAAACAATTAACTTCGTATTCCCGTTTAACGCGTCTCTCTATATTTTAACTCTTATGAAAGAGTTAAGAGGTAAATTTCGAATTACGAGTGCTTCGAGTATATGTATTTACATCATTGTAAACTATCTACATCCCTCAATATTGATACTGTTGCACGAAAAGTGTTCGGCGTCCCAACAAATTTATCGTTCGTGAAATGGAAAAAACGAATCCCTTTCGACCAAACGGAACGGCAAAGAACAAAGCGTAACAAAAATGCAACCACATAAATTGCGAATTGAATCGCCAATGGGCGAGCTATAAAAAGGGAAACTGTTTGGTATTTTTAATAAAACTGCAACTTCTCCGTACGTCGACTTTGACGTATTAAATACTCAGCGTGCCCGGTACACCATCAAAAATTTCGAAATATAATTCAAAAGAATTATACCCCGATTCATCTTTTACAGGTCACTCCGACAAAGCGTGATAAACGAAATTCCCGATAAAATTCTATTTCTGTATTCCCGTTTTTACGTAAGAAGCTTTTAGCTTTTATTTCCTCCGCTTCTATTCGCTCTCGTTCGCTCTTATTTAGCTCTCTTTCAGCTCCTTTTTTTTTTATTTGCATTTAACTTTTTTTCTTCAATTAGCTTCTCCGAACGCTTCT